ACGATCCAGCTAGCAATGTGTTGTTCTAATCCAAAGAGTTTTGGTGGTCGCTCTGCACTCTCCAGTACCTCGTCCACGGTTGGCCATGAAAGGGAAGAATTAATTCTGACAACGACGATGTGAGTGAACCCGAGACCTTTGAAGGTCAGCCAGTCAATTATAAGGCACATGAAGAATGGATGAAGACAGATCTAACAAATGAACAAACAGAAACAAGAGGCGAAATGGTGATCCGCAACCGCCGGACCAGGATATGATACGAATAAGTGTTCGTTTTCATTGGAGTCGAACAGAAATCGGACGGTGAACGAAAGTCGGCTGACCTTTGTTAACCCTCAGTCCGGCACTCTCAAGGAACTTTCAACGATTCTTGAGCTTGGCTGACTCAAATGTCAGTTGGAAACTCAGGTATAGCAGATGAGTTAGGTTGCTTAGAATAAAACTGCCCATAGCAACAGTTGTATTTAGGAAACAGGTTCGGATGAGTTCAGGCTGAGAAGTACCGGAGTTGTAAAATTGGCAAAAGAGTTTCAAGAGACTCCGGATGTGCGCCAGTTGTTTTCTCCGGCGACAAGCTGAACTGGGTTCCCTGAGGAGTCATCGTTCGAGGGCGTTTTCGCAGAACTGAAATTTGTTAGACTCGCTGGAACAGGTCGAATTGATCGGCGCTATTACACCATCACCATACGACGTTACTTTCGCGGCAAGGACCAAAGAGGTGATACACAAAGTCTTCAAAACCGAGGATATTCTGATAACCGGTGAGATTTTTCCAGGTTTCTTATAAAGGAATGATGTAGATGTTTCCGAGAAGCGGTATGGAGAGAAATGCTTTGCGTTCTCCGAACGTCGAACTGATTGCACAGTAATTGTTACAGATTATGACAGGAAAATGCAGTACTTTGGCGAGTGTTTTTTTGGCAGTAATTCGCCGTCCAACACTTCTGCCACGTTTCGTCTTCAGGATACTTCTCCAGTCTGCCAGGAAAGGAATATAAGCGAGACGATCGGAAATATTTAACTATTTTGAAAACTTCGAGTTGCTATGCATTTAAACGAGCATAAATTATACTGTTTTGTCATTAAATTTGTTTCAAAGCATGAGGGGATTTTAATTACTTGTCACAAATTACACCGAATATTGCGGGTTGCTAATAGCCGTATTGTATTTCGGTTTCCATAAACCCTCATCACATCGGAGTATGATTCTGGATAAGGTGTTACTCAATCGTTGTGAAATTCTAGAGTATTCCATTAAACATCAAGCTGATCATTGATAGCATATGGTTTTCGCATGGTACGAATAGGATAGATCTGGCATTTAGCACTAGTAAGGCTATATGTTTATCCCCGCTGTAGGTTAAACTTGGATATAGCGTTGGCTGGCAATTTATTCCACAGGGCTTCCAGAGTACATCATGAATTTAATTTGATCCGTGATGTTT